TACTAGAGTGAACTGAGAGTGTTCACAGACCCTGTCACAGACATCCATTTCCCCACTATCTACGTCCTCGTGCATCCTTAAATTGGCCACAAATTCTCCCTAAAAGTAACTGTATGTTAGTGTTCAATAAGTATAAATGGGTCAAAAAATTGACATGATAATGATTATTAGGTTAAAGTGTAACTGATGAGGTCTCTTTTCTTGTTCCCAGAAATATGCGCCACTCAGATGATAGCCGAACAGAAAAAATATCATTATTGCGCTTGCACGTACTTTCAGGGATGTATTTATTGTAGGAAATTTCACTAAAAACTGCTAATTTGTGGAATCGCAATCCACTCTAGAAAAACGGATCCCGAACAGGGATTACCTATTGGTTCATTACAACATGTAGATGTTGAATCGGAGCACGGAAGAGAACTGGGACCTGATCCAGTGACCGCCTTGTTTCCGAAATGACACGCGGATTCCGGCTTGTTGTTACAGGTGAAATGATAACGGGCCAAACTGGCCACCGGGGTACCGGCGAGTTGTTCGGGTTCAACACAAGTGGGAGGCAACGGTCCCGCAATAACCTGGTTCACATGATCACGAAGCCAATCCGGAAGCCAGCTCAAATGGCAATCACAGTTGAGCGGATTGGCACTCAAACTCCTGCAGAAAAAGAAACAGATAACGAGCGATAAACTGGTTGTCAAAATCTGCAACGCTTAGTGTTAGAAACCTCAAGGGAATGATGGTTTCGCGATGGATTTTGTGCTCAACAATGTTTGCTTATTGACTGGAGCACAACAGGGATCACAGACGTCCTGTCGCGAAGTCACACCACGCACATGCTAGGTAAGCGCTTTTCGAAACAGGTAAGCCTCCAACCCAAATCGTCCTGTCAGGCTAACTCATGCTATCTCCCGGCTAGTACTAGCACAAATGTTTAATCGATTGATTGCTCAATAGTCGGCGGTGGTCAGTGCTCAATACGGTCAAGAATAATTCACAACCACCCTTGGCAACTGCCTTCGTATCTTAAGACATTTCAAGACTGCAAAGCAACCAATGAACTGGCTGTGCAAGGTCAGTGCAACTATTCATGTCACACTTTATTCAGTTGGTGGTGTTCTCAATTGTTCAACAAACGCTTGAAGAACATTGCGATTTGATTAGTCATACATAGCCGTAGACATTCTATTCATTCACGCTGACCATAATGGTGTCATAGATGAATTAATGAATGATAATATCATTAGGTAAACCGCGCTAATTCCACACCATTGCATTTTCAAACCACCCAAAGTGGATCCAAATGGAGCTGATGTTTCCCAGATTATGATAAACTTCTCAGTGGGTCTATGATATATTTTAGTCATTTAACCTTTGACTAGTTTCAAGTCATAAGAAAACAGACAGAGGCAAAGCGAAGGCAAAGTGATTCAGGTTAATTTGCAGATGATTAAACTACCGATGACAAATAAACCTTGACTGAATTGCTCAGCCTTATGATCATGGACTGTAAAATATTGCGTTGCTATATTATCATGCCTTTATTCAGTATCACATTTTAATCATACGATGGAAAGCTGTTCTGAAGAGAAACCCAAAACGTGAATAGTAGTGAAGCGATATACACAAATTGTACATGTAGTTGTATATAACTTTTTTATTACACAATTTTTTGTGGTAAACAGCAGACAAGGCGAACCTCATAGTCATGAAGACCTGCGGCTTCGTCATGGAAACTGGTAACCCAAGCCCCGGGACTTGAAGTGCCGAACCACATAAGGCCAAGCTTGAGCATAAGTACATCGCCGGTTTCACGGCCCTTACAGCCCGGTAGGTATACATGCCCGGTTAACCTGTATTGGTATACTTGTACTTCTGATATGAAAAAATTAAACACAAAATTCATTTACATCTCAGGGAGTTAATTTGAGACAATCCAACCTCGAGGGATCATTGCAATTATTTTGTGATGACTGGCTCACACACATACCTGTCGAGTGGCAGGGTACGTGAAAGCGGTTGTGTGCTTCCAGGACAACATTTCCGGTCTCCTATATGCAACTCAGTACGAAAACACTTATTATCCACCCTGGTGTCGAGTTTTATGAAGTTAGACAGATTTAACCCACTAAACCGAACACAGAATCATCGAAATACTTGTTCAAGACTGCCTTGTCTAGAATTAACTCCCTTAGAAGACACTGGAGTTTGCATTACGTTACATACCTTAGACTGACAAACCCAGGTAACCTGATCAACCTCTATAGTATGGTATTGGTGGGGTCTTCATACCCTATTTCAGTGATCATATATATTTCTTATATTGAGTCAAATTCCAGTACCGACGACGGAATTCATTGTTAGAACACATGTGTAAAGTTTCCCATTGCTTTACCTAGACGGTTTTANCCTTTATATTAGTGGAAAAATGATGCAAGCATCCAACCTACTCCAGCTTAGACACCAATAAAGAGGCTTCTTGTAAATACCGGATTTCACTCGCACTTAGTCGAAATGAAGACCTCACTTGGAATACACGGATTTTGTTATTTTCGACATGATCAACAAAGAGTTAAAGGAAATTAAATGTTTATAAATCAAGAAAATTTTCTGAAAGTGAGGCGCATAAAAAGCGCTATTTGGGTGTAAACAGTCCAGTTAGTCGTCATAAGACAGTGCGAAAAAGCTGCGCATTGCGGAGCAGTATATCCTGTATGGTCGACAAGTTGCAGGCTTCACACTGCCCGTTCAGATAACCACAGTAAGTCTCCTGTTGGATTCATACTCGCTCAGACTCGACTTCCAATCCTGTTTCGCGACATACCATCAAAAGACGTTTCAGAATAAGTAAGACCAGCAACACGTACACAAATGTGTATTCACGTTACCCAATCTTTGGTCTGGAGTGCAAGCAAACAAACGACGTGCATAGACAACAAAACTCACAGTGATTCCAGTTTCATAGTGTCAAAGGCCCCTTTTGTGATGCATCGAATTTTATTATTGTTCAGCATTCTGCAAAAAAATCGGAAGGGAACAAACGTATCAGAAAAAGTAAAGAAACGAGCTTTTCATCATTTTGTTACATTTTTAGATACCATGAATTGTACGGATATAGTATTACTTAATATTTCACTGGTTTCGGATATAGAAGTGTCATTGGATTCTTTGCTTCGATTTTGGTCGGCTGATTGAATCCAGGGTCTTCTATTCGAAGATACTATCTGGCTATTTCAAAAATATTTTTTCTAACTATTTTGTTTGACTGCGTGTTATTGAATATACTGTGATATAATTTACAAGCAGGAAGAAATAGCCAATCGAACGGGCTACCATACAAACTGGAGAGAATAGGGAAAGTTAGGCGATGGTGGTGGGAATCGAACATGCGTCCTCCGGTGGAGGGGGGGGGGGATAAGTCAGTGATCTTGACCGTTTCCCCTTTTCTGACTTCCACCAAATAATACGTGAAACTTGCGCGCAAACATTCACGGTGAATTGCGCCTTTTCCAACGATTCGATGCGTCAATCTTTGTAAGCGGCATATTATCTGTTATGCAAGCACTTCTTTTCCCCGCGTAGTTCTGTAGCTGAAAATACTCCGCCGACCATACCTATCTGGTTCGACAAACCCGGATATATGTGTTTGACCTCAGAGGAGAGCAAAGAATGCGACTACTCGGTTTCCGGGAGACCCAACACGACTAGAAGTGCAATTTGTGGTATTCATCTTGCTTTTCCCAGTTTGTTGCTACTGATACTGATACAGGTTACGCCCACTGCCAAACATTCAAATGGGTTGAAGATATCGGCGTGGATGTGGACATCCTGTCACAAATCCATTAGCGAGATGAAAGGACGATTGGCAGTAATCCGACGCCGCAGCGAAGACAGTTCCGTGCGTAAATTTCTGCAGGGTCGCATCGGTAACCTCAGCCCCAGGTAGTTACACCAATCACACACTTGCTTACATACATACGTGTGTGTGTTAGTGCCCGTGTGTACACAAAGTAGACGGGTTTCGA